CCATCTTGGCTTTTTAATCAATGAAGGACAGACTATGGAAACGTAACTGAATACTGCCCACGGTTGGCAGAGCAAAATGATGAAACGGCTCCAGGAGAGATTGTCACAAAAAATAGACAGGTTGCAAGAATATTCCTATTTTTCTGAGTGAAAACTTTGGAGGATTTGGATACGGTTGCAATTTTGGGTTGGGAAATTCCTGGAGATTTGGAAGAAGAAGAAAAGTCCCCCCCCCTTGCTTTTCTCTACCTTAAGGAGTCTCAAAGTAGCTTAAAATCGCCTTCCCTTACTCTCCACACAACAGGCACCTTGTGAGGTAGGTGGGGCTGAGTGAGTTCTGAGAGAACTGTGACTGGCCCAAGGTCACCCAGCAGGCTTCATGGGGAGGAGGAGTGGGGAATCAAGTCCGGTTCTCCAGATTAGAGTCTGCCATTGTTAACCACTGCATGACACTGGGAGCAGAGCCAGGGGAGGGTGGGGTTTTGAGACCGGAGGGACAGCAGCAGGGTATAATGACATAAAGTCCATCCTCCAAAGCAGCCATTTTCTCCAACAAAACTGATCTCTGTAAATTCGAGATCACTTGTAATCCTGGGAGATCTCCAGACCCCACCTGGTGGTTGGGAACCCTAGAAAGCCATTTTCTGAGCTCTTTCAGTGCTTCTGCCCATCAGAGTAAGCCATACGTGCTGTAGTTGGACTACTGGTGTGATTACATAGGGCTGAACATATCCATTCGTTGAAGACCAAGAATAGCAGATAACTTCTGCTTGTCACAACAAGCGGCAAAGAATTATGGAGACACGTTCTGTTTCTGGCTCTGGGTGGCATAAGCAAGCCAATTACTCTCTGCCTCTGCTCTGCCATATGGAAATAATACTATCCTACTTTACTGGGCTGTTGTAAGGATGCATATGAAGTATTTAGAACACTGGAGGTAAAAACTCTGTGTGATTATTCTGATATATGGCATTGCTGGACATAGCATATATACCCTTTCCACCCCATCTTTGCAGCCCTAAGAGCTAGAAAGCTTCTCTTTAAAAAGCTTAAATTTTGAAGGGGAAAAAAAATTAAGCTCACTCTGAGGATCAACTCTAAAATTCTAGGAAGGCTGTATTGTGGTCCCAGTGTTACACTTCCAACTCTTTCAGTTGCAGAATATTTAAAGCTTTTGAACCTTTTCAGACCCAGACTTTGAAAGTCACTTAATGGAATAGCTAAGCTGTTACCTTCAACGGGAAAAAACGGTCCTGATCTTTTTACTTATTTAAGATATGTATTTAAATAGGACCTATAATATGAAAAGACAATCTCAAAATGCATTCAAAGGGACATATAAAACAATAAAACCACTAAAACAATCAAATCAGCTGCACTTAAAACATAGCAGTATCTATTGCCCTGACCTGGATGGCTGAGGCTAGTCAATCTCAGAAACTAAGTAGGGACAACCTTGGTTTAGTACCTGGATGGGAGACCACCAGTGAAGTCCAGAGTTGCTCTGCAAAGGCAGGCAATGGCAAACCATCTCTGAATGTCCTTTGCCTTGAAAACCCTACTGGGTTGCCATACGTTGGCTGAGACTTGGCAGCACTTTCTGCCACCACCACCCATTACCGTAGACTTGGAGGTTCTAAGCAATTGCAATTGTCCTCTAAACCTTTCTGGGGAAATCCTGGCGTAGATCTCCTGGTGCCTCATCCCTCAGTCTCCATATTATTTTCTTTAAAAGCAGAGTTTTGAATTCATGCTGAAATGCCGCTAAAAAGGGAGCAAGGCAGACCTCCCTTGAAAGGGCATTCCATTACGATGGTGCCATTATCAAAAAATGTCTTTTCTCTCATGATCATCCACTGTTCCTAAGGCAGCACGGGGCACAGAGAAGAGCCTCCAAAGGTGGCCCATATGTAGATTCATATGGGAGAAGCTGCGTTTCTTTTAGTGTACAACAATACACCCTCTATTGAGTTGATGGGGGAGCCCCTGCACACCTGGGGCTCTGAAATGAAGGGAGCATGATTGAAAAGTGCATTGCACCTTCATCACTTTTCTGATCAATGGTTGTGGTTAGTTCCTGAACTCCGGCAAATGCTATATCTATGCAGCCCTCTGATCTGTCCAGTTAGCTTTTTTCATTTGAAACTGATTATCTTTGATAATCAGTCTGTTGTAATAGGTATACTCACCAATGCATCAGATAGCCAATATTCCCTTGCCATCGTGTACCAGTGGATAGATTTCTATGTACAGCAGAATGTGGTGGTAGGGTAGATGAGTACCCTCAGAATACAAGTAGAGGAGGATGTCTTTTTAAAAAAAAAATCCACAAACAAACAATTTCTGCAACATAACATACTCCTGTAGTGCATCAGAGTAAAAGGTTCAAGCCTAGCTTTCTCTTCTAGTTTTCTCATGGAAGACAGGGGGCTTTTAAACATAGCTATTATTCCCCCTCCCCATCTGAACTGGTGCAGCCCAGTTTATCCATCCAGAACTCCACCATGTCATTCTTCACCTGCATGTACTGATCCAAGCGATGCTACCTTGGAACCACAAAGATGGGTATCCAGCATCCTGTACCAGTGTGATTCTCTTTGTCTTAGATTCCCTGATTCTGCGCACACATTTTTGCTCTGCTTCATGTACATGCTTTTCCTTTGTGCTGCAGACCCTGCCTGTCCTATATTGTGTAATTATTCATTCTGTGACAGTATCTATTATCATCATCGTTACAAGCCCCAAGCTAGATTGGAGCATCTCTGATGCTGCTTGCAAAAGGAAGCTTGGACTCAGTGGGAAAAGTGGTAAGAAAGGAGACCAGTTGCTGTAATCCCAGGCTGCTCCTTCCATCGACTGCCCACACTACTCACAGCAGGACACTCTTCTGCTGAGATCTCCTTAGGGTGCCATTGAGAGAGGGCGAAGGAGATCTCCCCACCCACACACCCATTTAAAACCACAAAAGACCTAAACAAATGAGTCTTGGAACACTCAAAAGACCTAAACAAATGCCAAACATTATTATATCAGAGATGAGAACTTAATTCACAATGTAGATAAACTTCTGTGGAATATGGATATTTTATTCAGCTGGGAGAAGCAAAACAGACTTGATTTTCAGTATGGGCCTGTCTTGAGCAATTGTGACATCTTGGTAGGTAAGATTAACATAGCTGTAAGAGCTATGGGAAGAGGCCGTTGAGAGCTTCTTGGGGGAAAGCAGCATTCCCCGTTTATTTCTTTATTTACTTCATTTTTGTTGTTCAGTCGCACAGTCCTGGATTTAATTTAAGTGAAGGAAATAAATATGTCCGTCTCCTCTCAAGCATAGAGGCATAATGGCAGGGTCTCAATTACTCTCAGCATCTAACAATTAAGGATTGTGTCCAGTGGCCAAAGTCACCGGCACTGCTCAGAAGAAGTCTTGACTTACCTGTCCACTTGAGATGTCATGATTGTAGCTATAAAGCTGTGAAGACTGTTTTGATTCAGAGACTCCAATGTTGAAGCTATTGCACATGGATGTAAAATTGGGACTCATTTGAGAAAGGCAACTCGAAACGAGCATTTACTCGAGAAGTTCGTCCTACTTGTTCACCTGTTGAATATAAAAGTATACATCATGAATACCATCAGTACCAGAAATTAGTTTACTTTCGTGTAATTTCTCTGTGCACGTCTGCAGCAATTCTTGTGTTTTTCATTGTCATTATATTGCTGTTCCCTTTGTTATTCAGCCTTTTTCTCCTTCAGCCTTGTGTGTTTGGCATTTGTCATGTTTGTTTAATATGTCACAGAAGAAGTGCAAGTGGACTTGTGTGCCCTTTCCTCACACTTCTGTGGGTCTGTGCAAAGAAGCGGCTGGAGCCCTTCCTTCTATATTCCATGCTTCCAGTGTGGATGCTGATCATCACTCATCGTACCGGATGGGTGGAGAAGAAGCGGGAATGTCCCATTCAAAAATATCCTATGCTCTAAACCCAGAGGGTCATTTGTGTATGATCATTGCTCAATGACCATAGCATCAAAGGATGACTTATATGTCTTGATTAGACTACTGCAATGCCCTCTATGTGGGGCTGCCCTTGAGTATTTGGAAGCTAAAACTGGTGCAAAATGCTGATTGGACTGGGTCATGGGGAGCTAGCACTCCAGCCTTGTTCCACCTGTACTGGCTCCCAGTCACCTTCTGGGCCCAATTCAAGGAGCTGGTACTGACCTTTAAAGTCCTATATGGCTTGGGACCAACATACCTTAAAGATCACCTACTCTCATATGAAACTACCCAATAGCTTCCATCATCTTCATGGACCTTTCTCTGGTTGCCCTCTTTATCTGAGGCTTGATGGGTGGCAATCTAAGAAGGGGCCTTCTCATCCATGGTCCCCCTTGATCATCATCATCCATCAGGGGGTGAAGACGTACCAGTTTTGTTTGGTGTTCCATCACTGACCTCCTTTCTGTTTGTGTGTCAACTGGCTGTGTTCTGTTTAATTGGTTTTACAGTGTGTATTTTCAAAAGTTGTTTTAATGGTTGCTTACCGCCTTGGGGACCCTAAATTGTGTGGAAATGTGGGATAAAAATAATCCAAATTTGACTCATGTGAATGAGTCATTATGAGTAAATCACCAAGGGTAGGACATTTATATTGCTGTTTTACATGGGTTGTGTCCAGCCCCGTAGCTCGGGAATTCTTTGGAAGGGGGCCTTGGGAGGCCCGCCAGCTAATTAAATGAAAGTACCGTGCAGGTGGTAAGTTGGAGCACTTTGGGGTCAGCCCAGGAGGGAGGGCCCCCAGAAAAAACACTAGGGGGCCAGGCCCCGGGGGTATGTTAGCTACGGGCCAGGTTGTGTCTAGGTTATGCAACCTGACTAGCCATAGGATGTTGCCCACAGTGAGTTCCTTCCTGGGGACTCAGTTTCCAAGGGTACGGGAGGGGAATTCAGCCCCCACGCCATTTCCCCAAATTGTTCACTGTCTGTTTTCTATCCTCAGATGAAGAATGTTCTACCACAGAGCATCCCTACAAGAAGCCTTACATGGAAACGTCCCCTGCTGAAGACGATTCTTTCTACCGTTCCAGCTACTCCCAGCAGCAGGGACTCAATGCCAGCTCATACAGGACTGAGTCAGCCCAGCGCCAAGCCTGTATGTACGCCAGCTCTGCCCCACCCACAGAGGCCGTGCCCAGCCTGGAAGACATCAGCTGCAACACATGGCCTGCTGTGCCCTCCTACAGCAGCTGCACAGTGACTGCCATGCAGCCGATGGACAGACTCCCCTACCAGCATTTCTCGGCCCATTTTACCTCCGGCCCTTTGATGCCCCGCCTCACCACTGTCGCTAATCATACCTCGCCGCAAATTGGGGACACACATGCCATGTTTCAGCATCAAACCTCTGTCCCTCACCAGCCTATCGTTCGGCAGTGTGGACCTCAGGCGAGCATCCAGTCTACTCCCAGCAGCCTCCAGCCCCCCGAGTTCCTCTATTCCCACGGGGTGCCCCGGACCCTTTCCCCCCATCAGTACCATTCTGTGCACGGAGTGGGCATGGTGCCAGAGTGGAGTGAGAACAGCTAACAAGGCCACGTGGAAGAGATGCTGGGAAGATTTCACTGCAAAAAAAGTCAGTGGTTTCGGGAGACTGATTTTAACTGAATGTTCGTATCCAAGCACTCGAGAGACAGACAGTGCCCTATCTGGCCAGACCATGGTATTGTATCTCCTCCTCTTTTATTCCTAAAGGCCATCAACAAACTGACCCCCATATCCCCCCCCGACAGACTCTATACCCAGACACAGCTGCCGCACAGAGTTTGCATTGCTTCTGCACCGACGTTTGCCCCGTACATGTTCTTTCTTTTGTTTTCAGGTGACTCACAGGATTTTATTTTATTTTTATTTTGCTGCCTTTTGACACACAGAAGAGTGCTTGAGCAACCAGCTAGAATACGTTGCGCTTTCTTTCTTTCTTTCTTTGGTTGTTGAGATTGACATGTTATATAATAAATGATAATATATATAGATATATATTCTTTCAAGTCACTCGGAGAAAAACTTCCATTTCAACAGTGACTTAAAAAAAATGGGTGGTCCTGAAGAGTATGTGGGGTTTCTTTTGACAGGTCATGCTGATGATCCATGATCAGATCCCCAGACACGCAAAAAGGAACTAGGGGTGACCGAGGGGGGGGGGAAGAGTATGGTTACGGATCAGGGCCATAATGTTGAGCAAAGACAGCATAATGCTTTTGTTCCTGTGCAGTTGGTCTTTTTTGGGGGGTGCTTCTGTTGCCCTTGCCTTTCTTCTCCCAGGGCTTAAAGCAGCTGGGCAATGATGCAGGGAGGAAAAGCTCCCCCACCAACCTTCCCCAGCACCATGGCCCCAATCCAAACGGCTCTTCCCTCACTGCTGCTTTTTGCAGCTGAGTTAACCTTTGGGGAATCTGATCATGAGTCCTCAGCATTGTGTGTAGTTTACCTCGCACAAAAGGGATGGTGGGGAGAGCAAGTATTCCACAGGTAAGACCATTTTGCCTACCTCTGTCATCTGTTTCTTGACTGACTTTTCTCCCCTGTGCCTGTCTGTTTCATAATCTGCCAGGTTATGCTAGGGAGTCCAAGAACAAAGAGAGTTCTTGTCAAATTAGCTACAACATTGTCTCCTTCCTTTTTCTTTTTAGCAAGAGAGACCTGCACTGTTGTGTGTTTTTTTTAATGGCTCACCTAACCATTACTGCATGTTGAAACACTAACCTGGCTTGGGGCCAAGCGTGGGCATTTCACTACACACATAGCTACTGCTGAAAATGGCAGCCCTGTATCTGGCTTTTCCTTTATGTTATATCTCATGGAATTTACCATGCCCTGAGATCATGACAATCTGTATTTCCCTTCCCCACATCTACATCATACCATTGGCTACCATGTGAGGTAGGGAACATGGAATGTTGTGATGGCAGGATATATAAGTAAGTTCTACTCAATGGCATTGGGGAAAGGAACACTCATGCAGCTGCCATTTTTGCTAGCATCTGTGCATGAGTTACTGTATCTTGTTTGGCCCTTAGAAGCCCCAGATTTATGTCATTTTCTAGGAGAGGAAAACAACAGTGCATTTTCTGCATGGCAAATGTAGCAGTGATCTAATGATAAAACAGGAAGGGAAGGTGGAAATAGAGCTTGAACCCATTGAAAAGTGAAAAAAAATAAAAGATGTTGAGGAAAATGGGTAAAGTTACTTTTTAAAAGCAATGAAACATAATCTAACAGTAATATCATTAAGTCAGTAAATATATATATATTACACTGCTTATGTCAGAATAAAACTAAGGACCAAACAACTTTCCACAATAGCAATAGAACATATTCCTATGCCAAATTACACACACACACACACACACACACAGAGTGAGAATTTATAGCCTGAAGAGATCCTTAAAAACAATACCCACAATAAAATACTAAAACTGCTGGTGAACTACAGCTCTCCCATTGAACCTAATGCATTCAATAATCTGTTAATAGAGCAATTTCCAGTAATGTGGCAAAAAGAGAAATTTTAAAAATATTTCAATACTAAACAAAAGGAAATCACCAATGTGATCTTACTATTTGTTAAAATTTCAGTATCATTGCTTTTAAAGAGTAGATTTGCTTGTATCCATTTTTTCTTTGTCTTCTTTTAACCTTTACCCCACAATGACAACACAAGTCTCTAAGCCTGGTTTTGTTTTCAGAGCTGCTTCAGATATGACATTGATGTGCCCCTGTGGAAAGGGGTGTCAGGAAGGTTAAGTGTGCCATACTTTATATTTCCCCTTCATCTTTTTCACCTGAAACAGAACTTTTGAGTTCTCCCCAAGAAATATATATATACTTGCCCCTGATCCTCTTCTTCCTGACACTTAACTGGTCACTAATTGACAAATAGCCATGTCCTCTCATCCCATGTGTGTACTCAGAGATCTTCATTGAGGGACTTTGTCAACTTTTTGGAAATCTAAATATAAGATATCGGTTGCTTCACCATTCTTCATTTTCTCAGAGTCAAAACATTGGTAAGTCAGGACTTCCCTTTGCAGGAGCTATTCTTCCTCTTTAGGGTTCATTCCTCTATAAGATTAATAGCCTATCTTTAATATCAGTTTTGCCAATTTACCTAGATTGTATGTTAATTTATCAATAATTCCTAGGATCCTTCCTAGATTCCTTTTGTTAAAAATTAGTGGCATGTTTGCTATGTTCCTATTCTCTTGTAAGGACACTGATTTTAGTGAGTGTTGCATTGTTTTATTGGAGCAACAGTTTCAATATCTGAGTTCCTTAACAACTCTTAGGTGTTTGCCTTCTACACCTGATGACTTGTTAGTTTTAATTTTTCAGTTAGCCCTTGAATGATCTATTAATTTGTTTCTTTTGGACTTTCAGATGTGTTTGAAAATCCTGTGCATATTATCCACAGTGAAGACAAAAACAAATGATGCGTTAGCTTTTCTGTGTCTCCCTGTCTTCCATTAGCAATCCTTTTGTTGCTTTGTCAATCAAGCAACTTACCAGTTCTATTTCAACTTTATCAAGGTCATATCTGAAGCCACACTTGGGAACAAGAAAAAGTGCATCCACCAGGGCAACTGAGTTAAAAAAAATATTTGCAGGAACTGTCCATTGAATTAAAAATGGGCATCTCCTTTTTCACAATACTTTTTTAAGTAAGAAGGGGAAAAATGGCATTAACCTTGCTTATAAAAATTATTTCTAGATTCTTTTACACTGCTTTATATTAGTTTTTGTAACACTTCGACTGTCATGGCTTATACCAGGTATGTGGGAAAATCGTAGCTTGGTGCTGAGACTCTTTTTTCTAAGATGCTTACTCTTCCCACGGTAGAACTCCAATTCCCAGGGTTCCATGTTGAAGAGGGAATGGCTCTTGAACCTGTTATCCTACATCCAACTCTGTATCTCTTCATCATTTCCCATTCTTAAAATTGATACATGTGGGGAAAGTGGCCATTCAATTGTTCCTTGGGGTGAGCCTTTTTGTCTGGGGTGGCCCATCAAGTGGCTGATCCTCCATGTGAACTTGCAGTGAAATGGTGATGGCAGCAGGTAAACAGCTCACATGATGGAAACAGTTCAGGGGAACTATTTGAAGTAGCCTCCATTGAGTCTGTGCCAAATGTTCAGCAGCTTTGATTTTGGGAATGAGTGTCACCAGTTTGGAGAAGATTATTCTTTCTCCTCAAGGGATGATTGAGTCATTCGCTGCATCCTTCCCATCCCCTTCCATGAATGCTGCTTAGTGCACATAATTCCCTTGAATCTCCATTCCCTGTACCTGGAAAGATGTCCTTGTGCAGCATATAAAAGGAATCCTGTCCTTAGATTCTACAAATCATGACAGCTTTCCCCTCACCTCAAAATGCCCAGTGCCATTACTTCTCCTAACCTGTACTTTTTCCTCCATCCTTATGAAGTACATGGACAACCTGCCCATTCAGTACTATAGTAAGCAGGATGATGGCACAATGCTACATCCGGTAAGACGAAACATTGGATTTTAATAAAGAATGTGGGCTGAGACAACCAATCAGCTGCTTCAGGATTATTGGAGGCAAAGGAGGACAGTGAGAGAAAGTGAGGGCAATCTAAACAAAACATTTTGATGAGTGTCAAAAAGTCACCAAATCTAAGGTATTTGTCAGGAATGGGGAAAAAATGATAGAAAAGAAAAAGCAGTTTGGAATAAGTCCTAGACTGCATATTTCCACCTGTTTGACCATGTTCTGTCTCCTAGCTTGTTTTAAAAACAAAAGACATCCACAATGATGCTCAATCTACCTAAGCCCAAGAATTAAATCAAGATTAGAGTCCCCCAGGTCTTTGTGAAAAACAACAACAAATATCTGAAATGAAGACCAAAAAAAGATCAACCAGAGGACTCCTGTGAGTTTAATAAAAGCAAACAAGTCAAGTTTGCAAAATGACCTTTTGTTCTTTTTTTTTTGTCATCTGTACAAAAAGGAAAAAATGGGGAAATTTAAAGATTATTTGAATGCATTCAATGAGGCTTTAAACAAATTTGTTGGTTTTTTTTAAAAGGGGGGAAGACTGTGACTAGGTCAGAAAAATCTTCCCATTGCAGGGTGCTTCAGGTGTAATATTTTACTGGTACTATTTATTGAAAAACAGGTGTTCAAATAAGTAATAACAGGTAATAAAGTCAGCAAAGCAGCTGGTTGAAACTTTAAAAAAAAAATTATTGATACTCAGATTGTAAGTTTGGTTTCCCTTTTTTTGCCCCCACCCCAACTGTACTTTAAAAAAATACAAATGACCCTAATTAAGAAAACAGGGTATATGTGTATGCACGCCAGAGAGGGTGAATGTGTGTGAATGTCAGTATGTAAGGATGCAAATATGTCAAATGTATGTTGCTACGAACAAAAAAAATCTACCTATCTAACCTTTCCATATTCTTGTGTGGCAATTTATGTCTAATAAATACCATGTGCTATGAAGTGCAAGGTATCTGGACACCCTTTTTGTTCCCATTTATTTTGTTGAACAAAATCACA